GATGCTCAATGTGAATATGGCACTATTTGTAAATCCAAGATGGCGGGCACGATTTTTCATATAATGGCAAGTTGGGTATCGTTTTCGAGGTATTTGGGGGTGCTCATTACGAATATTGCTTTTGTTTGAACTGTCGTGTTTGCCATCTTGGATTTAGAAATGAGTCCCATATTTGTATTGAACATTCCCAAACATCTCGAAAACGATACCCAACTTGCCATTATTCGAAAAATCGCGCCCGCCATCTTGGATTTAGAAATAAGTGCCATATTCGAAACCTAAAACCGAAAATGCCATAAGCAAACATTAAAGAAAATAACTGTTAAAATAGATTAAAAAATCGCTTAAGAATGCTCCCCTTTTAAGAAAATAAAATATTTCAATATAAAATATTTCGCTTGAGTTACGAAAAGAAAGACATAAAATAAGCTATCAAAGTTGTACTGGTGGTGCCAACACTATAGTAGAAACAAATATATACTGTAAATTTGTTGCAATATGTGCTCCAATTCAAATAAAATTAAAATAAATAATTATTCAATAAAGCATGAACGCAGAGCCGTTAAAAGTATTATAAAATAATTAAGTGTCCCAATCACTTACAGGAGTTAACGAAAACATTTAATGTTTATTCGAGTAAATATTAGTTCAAAATGCGCAAATAAATCGAAATTACAGGCACCACTAAAATTTACGTAATATAATTATTTTGATACAGAATAGCAAAATGGGGAGAAAAAAAATTCGTTACTTTGCAACACTTTCGTATCTTGTTGCCGCGAAATTATTTTTCTGTTTTAGTGAATATTTACATAAAAATATGAGTTGAAACGCATTACTTACTTGTGGAATGCGATGTTAGTGTCTATTTTGTTTGTCTGTTGTATTTTTACACCCATTTACCGCACATTTCGTCATTTTTAGCAAAAAATTTTGGAGCTGTTCGCGGTGCAATATGACCTTGAGCACTAACAGCCCGCGCGCTCCTAAGACGCGTTTGGAACCCTCTAACTTGCCTCACTTAGCGTGTGCGGGCTAGGTTTCTATGCGTTATTATTCTAAGAGTACAACGTCAAAATTAAGTAAAATTATTAGCATTACAACGAAACAAACACATTGTATTTATAAATAGTAATAATTTTTAAGTTTATCGAATGTTACGATCTTTGACTACCGTGTCCTTCAATTATTTTTGTGAAATTATTCCACTAGTTTGTTATAATTATTATAATACAAAGATCGAACACTAAGAAAAAGTTTCAAACCAATGTCTTCCAGCAAACCGTGGCAGGCACTAAACCAAACCTAAATAGCACTTTTCTGCCCTTGTTCCCCAACCTGTTGCTAAGGGACACTTTAATTAAGGAAACAAGACAAAATGTCAAGTGACCGCAGAGAAGACTGACTTAAGGAGAAGCATGAGTTCACAAACAATATTTATTTTTTACATTTTCCCTTCTGAATCAATCACTACATTAAATATCAAAAAACGAAGATTGGCAACAAGCACGTAGAAAAATTCATAAGGTCTGCTGGTTCGCTCCGTAGCTCAGTTGGGAGAGCGTCAGACAGGGTACGCTGAAGGCGCTGGTTCCAATCCAGCCGGATCGAAGTAGTTTTCTTAGTGTTCTTGTCGATCTTTGTAGTAATTATTATAATAAACCAGGGAAGTAATCGCACAAATAAATTATTAAATATACAATAAAACTTAAAATTTAATTATCTAAAAACTAAGTAATCTTTAGACCTAATATCTTCATTGAAACAAGAATAAGATTTTATATTTTTTGTACCTATAAAATCTTTGATTTTAGTAAGTACGTAAAACCAAGTACAAAGATACGACAACAAGCTCATAAAAAAATTCGTGAGGTCCGCTGGTTCATTCCGTGGCGTAGTTGGTAGCTATACCAAGACGCTAGCCTAGCACGGTATGCTAGAAGATGTCGGTTAGAATCCGGCCGGATCGTAGAATTTTTTCTGAGTGTTCTATTGTGTTCTATATAGTGTTCTATCTTTGTATTAATAATTATAAGAAACTAGTGGAGTAATTTCACATAAAAAATAATTGAATATCAATTCAATAAAATTTTTAATACAGTGAATAGCGACATCGCTCGTCCTGGGGCTGGTAGCTGTAAAGGTATCTAACTGGAATGAGTGAAATATATTTACTTATTATAACTTGAAGAAACAAAACAACGCAGAACGGATAATATTACTGATAATAATCTTAGTACAAAGTACTAAAAAACCGACCTCAAAAGTTCGTTGAATTACATATATTTGCCAAATAATTGAAATCGGTTAATATGCTCGAAACCGGATTCATCGCCTAGTTTGCCAGCCTTAGCGGTGGAATAGTTTCTTCAAATTTAAATGGGACCACTACCGAGGTATTCTCTTTCCAAAAAATAATCATCAAAGTCCGTTAACAAATTGCCGGAGTTTTTTTTTTTTTTTTTTTTTTTTTAAATACCTGACAGGCAAATGACTCCACTCCACCTGATGTTAAGTGGAAAGTGGTATCCAAACGCGAAGGAACCTAGTGCAGCGATGGAATCCTCACTGCACTAGCCGCCTCCACCCTGCCTGCCTACAATATGCCTCTTCATAAGCGTAACATGCATACAAAAATAATTCGAATTAAGAACATCCTCCTTTTTTAGGTCAGTTCAAAAGTAAGAGTCAAAACATAATAGTAATATTTTTACTTTCAACGTAATTGCTAGTTTACATCGAAAATATAGAATATAATACCGTATTTGCCGCCCTAATAAAACAATTTACCATGTTTAATATTACCTTGATAGATGTATTATACATATATGACTATTTTATTAAACAAAAACCGATTTTCAAAAGATTGTCGCTGTGTTCGCTACTGCGGTCTCCTCAACGATAACTGAAATGCATATGGAAGTTCATCAAAGCGAATCATGTGAGCGCAAACACAAAGTAGCTTCTGTGCACTGTTGAGGAGTTCCTCTCATCTGTCTGCTATTTCCATCATCAGATTAGCTCTAGGTCACCATAACATTTTATTTTTTTGAAATTGCATCTTAATTCTAATCCTAAATTACATCTATTCTAATCGTTTAAAGTGGGTGAAATTCAGTCAAACGAATTCATCCCCTAATTTGCCACCCTTGTAGGTGAAACATTTTCCTCAAATTTAAATGGGACCACTGCTAAGGTCCCCCTTTCGAACAAAAAAAATAATCGATCTTTTACAAATACACAAAAATAAATATAGTCCAAATGGGAACGTCCTCTTCGGTTACAAATACAATATACATAATTCTAGAATTTCAAATAGACGTATTATTCACTCTATGTGTACTACTTTGATTGAATTTTAGGTAAATATATTCTGCATGTTCTTTGGTGATAATAAAACTACCATACGCCTATAATACGGAAAAGGCCTCTGGGTAGCACTCTGCGCTATAAGATATTAGGATGTCGTTTTTAGTACATACAAATTTAGGTCATTTAAGGCTTGAGATGTAAATTCAAGTCTACGCTTTTTAAAAGACGGTACAAAGTCTGATTTTGCTTACTTACTTACTCTAGGCAAGATATAAAATAGAAATAACGAAAAGGATTACTTTATACGAAAATAACATATTCATTGAATCTTCTATGTCATAACACGTGATTGTTATCCATAAATAATGATTGATTTTCAGGGCTACGAATGAGGGATATAACGGACTTAAATTTAGTGGATTGTGTGAAATATTATTTGTTTGTAGTTTGCATTTAAAAAAATGTGTAATAACTTTGTTGTCTTCGCTTTACTAGATATTTTACAAATATTATTTCCCTACCGTGAATTTAAGAACCACGTTATTATTCTGAAAATGCTGAGGGTGGTTGGAGGCAGAAGAAAAATCAGAGCTTTTAGAGGCTTTGCAAAAAATTTATATATTCTGTTTAAAATGATTTTTCCTAATTTTACTATTTCCTTTATAATAACTGTAATTAGACAAACGCCAGACATAATAGGAATTTCAACTTAAAATAAGAATTACTTATGTATACATAGGTGCAATATATAAACTAAGTAACAAAATAGGCTTTGAAACAAGAGGTCACTATCCAGAAAGATCAACCAATTTAGAAACATTCGTTCGCCAAATGCAAGCCATCTAAAATTTATGTATTAAAATATTTTCGTCATGATCAGATGCATAGGTCTCCTCTCAAGCGAGGGCTTAGGTCATAATCCGATACGCTGGCCCAATGCATGTTGGGGACTTCACACGTTTTCCGAGGGCTCTTTCCGAGGGTGAACCTTCTTCGACCTGTAGGTTTCATCACGATGTTTTCTTGCACCGAAAAGCTCATGGTAAATTTCAAATTAAATTTCGAACATAAATTCCGAGAAATTTAAAAGTCTCGGCCTCTGTTTGAGAGACGGCAGGCCAAATCATTAGGCTACTACGGCTTAAAATGTTTTACCATTTCAAAATGTTCTGCGATGTAAAAAGTACTTCCCCTTAACAGCCTACCGTATATACGTCTGATGTAATTCGCTGGTAGCATTGTTTCAATTTAATAACGGTCACGTCGTCCCGCTAGGACAAAAACAAACAAAAATAAATTTGTTGTGACAGCCCTTGGGAGTCCACCTACTCCTAGCTCTTTTATATAAGCTGCATCAAGCCGCGCTGGACCACACAGCTTGTGGAACTTTTGAGTCGACAACTTGAATTGCAACAGCGAACTACTCAGTGATTATGTGTAAATGATATTAAACCGTTCCTGTGCAAATAATAATTGTAAGTATTAAGAAAAAAGTTTTATTATTTTGCAAGCGATTGTATTATACGTAAAATGATTTATTTTGTTACAGCTTTGCTTACTAATACTAAAAGCGAATTAAAAAGTGATAACATTTGTACTCATTTTTACTATTTCTTTAAAAAACATTCTATAAGAAATATTAAATAGAAATGTAACCCTTTGGGGGAGTTGGCGTTGGCTGTGCGATTTCATCTATTACGTTGAGTATTTTTCTGACACATAAATACATGTTCACCTTTTATTGTTACAGAAAACATAAAAATGCGTAAAAGACATCACTTTTTGTTATGGCTCCTCTTTGTTGCCTCAATAGAAATTACTTTTGGAATAACTAACAATCATACAAAACCCAATGATGATAATAAGAAGCCTAACAATATAAAAAATAAAACTAGTGTCTCGCGCAATAAAAGGGCACTTAATAACAACGATAACGAAAATCCTTTCTGGCCCACTAGAGGAAAAAAGGCTTTACTTTCAAATCCAAACTCCCTATATATCGACGAATTTGGCGGTGGCGAAAAGAGTCCAACAAATACAAAGATTGATAATGATCCTCCGTTCTGGGGAATGCGAGGAAGACGTAGTAGTGAAAGCATCGAAAATGATTACCCTACAGTTCCTGCCATAAGTAATCACTTTGGAATTATTTGTAAACATTGCTATACGTCTGCTCATAAACTTAACGAAGTTGATACTGATTATTCCAAGGAAAATGAATCAGATTATGAAAATCAAAACTCTGATGAAATTGAAGAAAATAATTACCTATCATCAGCGTCATTGTCGAAAACTAGAAGACAAGAAAATGATCCTTTCTGGGGAGCAAGAGGGCGTCGGCAAGAAGATAAACCGTATTGGAGTCATAAAATGAAGAGTGAGGATATACCTTTTTGGGGACAACGAGGCAGGCGCTTTGATCAAGATGAACCTTTCTGGAGCAGCCGCGGAAGACGAGATACTGAAGTTAATGAAGAGCCGTTCTGGGGCAACCGGGGCAGAAGACAAGAAAATGAACCATTTTGGGGCAACAGAGGAAGAAGACAGGAGAATGATCCTTTCTGGGGAACTCGTGGGAGGCGCAGATATTTCGAGCCATTTCATGGAAAACAAAAGCAACAGTTAAAGAAAATTCTAAAAGAAGCGATTAACACAATGGAAGAAAACATAGAACATCTTGCCAGGTTTAAAAAAGACGACAAATTATTTCCAAGTTCCTACTGGTTTAACCGAGGTAGGAACAGTCAATTAAGAGGCTTATTTAAAGGAGGAAGAAACAAAAATCACGATACTAATATGGACTCTGAAATTGAATTTCATCCCACGCTTTCGGAATCTAGCACAGTTTTAAACGAAAGGATGTATGCTGACCAACCTCGTTACATAGTAGTCGAACGGAGTAGCCGATCTTCGGCAGAAGATGACCCTTACTTTATTTCTCGTGGGAAAAAAAAAATTATCAATTTCAAATTTATCAAAGCTGCTCGCGATAGACGTGGCGCAATCGAGGAGATAGTAAAATCGGTACGCAATGACCCTTATTACATAGCCAGAGGCAAAAAAGACGCGGATTTAAAGGTTGGAAATTCGACGGTTTTGCGAGAAGGGCTTGACAAAGCTAAGGAACTTATCTGTGCGGTCGTCGACTTGATTATGATTAAAAAAGAGGCAACTAAGACGAAGAGAGATATCAATGACAACGAGCGAGATAGGAGGACGATATTAAAAAAACTCGCTGCCCAACTCCAAAATGATCCATACTTTGTTAGCAGAGGCAAGAAAAGCGACGGAACAGTCGTCCATGAAGCTAATTTAGAAGAATTTGTTATTGAAGTTGGTGAAAAATGTAATAATTGAATTCACTATTATCCGGATTCCTAACCTGCATTTGGCACGAAGACGAAAAATTACATTTTGAATTTAAGGTTATTCTGTGTAACTTATGATAAAAATGTATCGTTTAGGTAGATGTTTAAAAACTTGTACACATAATACAATTTTTTAATATTATCTTGCTATTTTAACTACCTACCCTTGAATTGATTATTAATAATTGTAGTTAATTAAATAAGTTGCTTCGAAATACAAGTGATTTTACCTTAAGAACAACGAATTGTAAACATTACTCACAAGATTGTATACCTAAATCTTTAAATAAAATCGTTTTTGACAGCTTATATTGAACTGTGCGATCATTTTTTGCTATAGGAGTTGATTGAACAAAATACTATAATTAATAAAACTTAATATTAAATCTCACGATATAATATATTTCTGATAATATTTACAAAAAGTTATTCTCTAAAAATTAAACACAAACCGTTAGTGCGACTTCTTCATTTATTTCGTAAATCATATATTATAATTTATATATATATATATATAGGACACATAATCCAAACATCGTATATTTATTTAGTTTTTTTTTCACATTTATGGGGAAGGTAACAAGGATTTGAGCAATCAACATTATAAGCACATATTATATAAAATGTACGCGGTCATATTTTAATTTAAATAAAGAGGATAAACATTTAAGACGACATGGACCTTATTTTATAAGCTGCAAAATACTAAAAAATAACTGCTTTTTTTATAAAATGGAACAGATTTATAAAAAGCAGAACTTCGTGAACAGGATTTGTGAGACATATATAGAATAAGATAGTCATTACACCAACCTAGACGATATCTATTTTTATATCAACTACATGTAAATATAATTATAACATACACATTCCGAGTAACATTTATGTACTAAAAGTTAATGTTCATAAATTAATGATCAATAATGATGAATGATCATTGATGACTAATGCTAGTGTAATGATTACCTGCGAAAGTGGGGTATGAAATACTGTCGACTTTTTCTAACGAGCCATTCCTGAAGTTCTCGACCGTAAATTTTGCTGTATTGATAGACTTTAGTGTGGGCGTAAAGTATTAGAAGATTAGAAAACCGTCACAAGAAGACCAAAATAAGTTGCAAACATTTTATGAAATCGCTAGCGAATTTACGTTCATGGTGGACGTTAATGGTACGTCTTATAGTTTTATTGCACCTAAATAATCATCCCAGTTTGCTTTTTCTTCAGTTGAGCTAAATTTCAAGTTGTTTTAAAAAACATTTGATTAAAAGTGACAATAGTTTCGACTGGAGTTTAATAGTGAAACAAAGGCTAACGCCCAAACACAGTTGATTTTTTGTATGTATATAATAGTACAATATTTGGGAACAGTGTAACATCTCTATCTTGGTATGATTACATACTATGAATGCTCAATAAAAATCGCTACGATAAATGGTAATAAACAAAGTACAATAATAAACACATTGTATACTTAGACTGTATACAATGTGTTTATTATTGTACTTATACAGAATTTCAAAGCTTCGAAATTTTGTTACGGAGAAATTTCAGAAACAATACCTAATACGTAACATCTCTTATTAAATGTATTGCGATTAGTGATAACTGTATAATAGTTGTAGTTAAATCGTATACATAAATATATATATATATATATATACTATATATCGACTATATATCATAATATTATCATTTGAAAAATTCTAAAAGACACTATAACAGGCCGTCAAAACGATGGTCGAATATTAAACTATGACAATTTCAATAATACTGTATTTTTTTATTATTTTAAGCAGAAAATTTTTTATATACTTACAGTACAGACATTATTTAAAATAATATTACGTATGGCAATAAGAAGTTAAACATTCTGACATTAAATGTCCTATAGTTAATAATCTCAAATTTTCTGATGACGCCAAACGAGGTTCTTAAAGGGGCTGAAAAAATAAATAGAACCTCAAGCCCAAACATTTATCAATTAAAAGTGTCCACGATGACATTCAGTACTGATTTGAAGGTACAGAGTAGTGACATCTAAGGACATCGATCCAGCAAACACACCAAAAAATTGATTGCATTTGGTTATTTACTACACATTGGGAAATAAATCTACATTTGAGTATATCAGAGCAGATAACTCTACAACACTGAGTAGTACACATGTAAGGTGCTTGATAATTTAAATGATTATTTTTATCTTCAATTTATTAGTACATAACATCGAGAGTTTAACTTTTTTATGTAATATTATGAAAGCTGGAATAATGCTAACATTCAGATTCGATTAAACATTAAATTAATATTAGGCTTTGCGTCGTTCGAAAATTATTTTTCATACTAAATCACATACGAATAAAATGTTCCCATTCACTGTAACCTGACTGTCGAAACACGTACACTTAAAATCTTTGCATCAAAGTTAATAAGGCCCACTACAAACAATCTGTAAATTGATCTAGCTTAGGTGACCATCAAAAACGAATTTACCTTAAATCAGATACTCATGATGCCAAATTAAAAAATCGCGGTGTATACGCTTTGGCTTCACTTCCTTCCTATTCCAAATCGCCCTCCTCTGGAAAGCGGTGGAACGTGCTGCTGTAACCCTGTAGGCCTTATGCTGATTTCATATTCTCCATAAAAGAAGGTGATTAGTCGCGTCCTCCCGTCCTGCGTCTTCCGTCATTGTGGAACTTCGGAAATCTTCGTAACCGTCTCCACCGGAGATTATCAGCGTTTCTTTATCGTTCTGCGTACTTTCGGCTTGCTTTTGCAATTTCTCTGCGTTAGTGGAACGGCGGGTCATGGCTTTAGTTTTCAGCGTCGTCTGTGCAGGTTTAGCAGAATGTTTCGATACCACCGGATTTTCGACAAGTGTCAAAAATCTCACATGGCCAGTGTGCCCGTAGGTGATACCTGAAAAATATGTACAATATGGTTATCCAAAATAATGCGAAAGTAACTCTGCCACGTTTTCATGCCTAAACCACTGAACGAATTCTGATTAATTTTGGTATAAAGATAGATGAGACCTAGGAGGAGGATATAGGCTATTTTTTGTCACTAAAATAAATCTTAAAGGGGGTGAAATAGGGGATGGAATGGCACGTAACAAATAGTCAAACATCATAATTAGTACAGTTCAATAGGCTAAGTACTCGAAGTACTTATTCTACGCAGACAAAGTTGCGGCACAAGTTGTTGCTAAAAATTCAAAGGTAAGTTGCATAACCTGCCATCTGTGGGAAAATGATCGGAAAATTTTGTAATGCAGTTCAGGTTGCAGTGAGATGTATTTATATGTCGCGTGTTGCGTACCTCCTGCTTCTAATAGTGCGAGGCAGATGGCAATGTACCACAAGGCAGATGGCAATGTACCACACTGGTATTGAACAATTTTACAAAGACTACACACGTAGTCTTCTCTGTGGATTCATTGTGACGTCACACATGTCCAGTTTTTGTCTCGTTTATCGATTTTTCTAGACAAGTATTAACGTGCCATTGATGAAAATTTGACTGTCGTCGTAATAGGAGCTTATTCCGAACAAAATTGTGCCTTAAACATTTTGGTGTGAAGTGATTTAGTAGAATTTCACTGACAGATACGTGAATATTGAACAGTTGCCTAAAGAAAGCATATTTAGGATAAAAAATGCAAAAAGGAAGGAACCTATTTAACAAATACATTTCGAAGTTCTATTATGTCGGTCATGTAAAAAAATTGCAACAAATGGACTACTATACAATATTTACTGCTATAAAACCAATACTTCGAAATAGTGCGCCATCTATCTAAGGCCAATACATTTCGACGAAGCGCACCTATGTTAACTTCGTGAGGAATTTGTTCTATCAGCCTTGTACATTCGTGTCTGTGGATTGTTTCATGACTACGCCACTAGATGGCGACACATTTCACAATACACCAACATTCAAAACACATTTTCGTCTAAAATTTATGTACATTTATAAAGTTTAAAAAATAAAATCTGCATTTGCATATTACAAAATTTATGGACAACATAACACACAGAGCTTATCACAAAGAAACTCACCAGTGAGTTGAGGAACCGTGAAAATACCAGTGCGTAGATTCGGGGAGTTATGAAGGGGCGCGGTCAACAGCACACCAGCGCTGGTGCCAACCCACAACGTGTCGCGATGGGCCAGCAACGCGGTCACACGGAGACAGGCTGCTTTGTGCTGACGAATTATATCATCGCATCCTGAAATTGCAGATAAGACTTTTGGTAATGATTTAATTCCTAGTTTTCGTGTGCAGTGTTTGGTGATAATTGTTAGACAGAAGTTGATTAGCAACTTTTTCTATCTTCAACTAAGAGTCGTAATACTTGACCAGTACGTTACTTTCAAATGAATGTTTATTAGACAAGCCTAAATATGATGTCGGAACAATCATTGAACAATACGATGTTATTCGTAGTATACGCTATACTTGTCGTTGTCACTGTTTGCGTAGCAGCATTAAAGAAATTGCTTGAGAAAAGTGTGTGAATTTCTTTTACTATCGTCGTAAAAAACTAGTGTTTGTGAGCAACCTAAAATGTATAATATTTTGAACGGAACACTTAAAATTATTTAATAATTGAGCGCTGCTGTAGGCATTCTAACAGAGATTTTAATCTCGAACAGCTTTATTCGACTACTAGTGATAAAATAGTTTTATTTTTATTCATATTCATTAGGATGAATTAAGTCTGTAACACATACCGTGTAGCATCTTAGTGACTTGCGGAGTGATGTTGATTTCGGCCAACTGCTCGCGAGTGGTAGCGTTGTAACAACGCAACTGTGCCGCGTTGTGTAGTGATAGCCAGATCGACCCTCCGGCCACAGCCATATGACTGATCGGCTTCGTCTCAGAACTTATTTGGAATGTTTCGTCCACCTAGACATTAAAGCGAGATTTAAAAAAACTTAGTTTTTCAATAAGGGTGTTTATTTTAAGTCATAATTTTAAAATGACTAGAGAGATATATCATAATACTGCTTATGTGTCGTGTCTTTACACTTTTATATTTTATAATAACACAACTTCTTAAAAAAAACCGACCTCAAAAGTTCGTGGAATTACATCTAGTTGCCAAGCTAACTTTTATTGAAATCGGTTACTAGAAAGTCCGCGAAACTAATTTCATCCCGTAGCTTTACACCCTTATAGGTGGAATATTTTCTTCAAACTAATGGGACCTATACGTGAGACGCTATAAGTTTCCGGAATGAATAAGAAAAAAATACTGTAAATTATGGTCGGAAATGAATTTAATGTTTCTCAAAATATTCTCTGTTAGCGTTAATGCAGTTTTTCATACGAATGAACAAATTTTGAAAACATTTATGCCACTCCTCCGTGACAGTCTCTGAAATATATTTTCCATACTCTTTGACAGCCTCTTCAGATGATGAAAGTCGTTGACCGCGTAACTGGTTCTTAATTTTTGGAAATAAATAAAAGTCACATGGTGGCAGGGCGGAACTGTACGCGGGATGGGTCATAAGGTCAACGTTGTTTACCTTCAAAAATTCATTTGTCTGTTTGACCGTGTGAGAACTGGCATTGCCGTGGTGCAAGATGATACGGCGTTTACGGTTATTTTTACGGAGTTTGTCAATAATATAATAATATAATATAATAATATAATATAATAATATAATATAATACAATAATACAATAACTTCCGTCAAACAAATGGTCGTGTACCAATCACTATTCACGGTACAACGATTCTCCAAGGCAACAGTGGCCACGTGTCCAGTTTTATTTAAAAAAGAAGCAATCATCCGCTTAGAGGCACTTTACACATGCGCCACTTTTTTTTTTGTTTCGACTATCTCGAAAGACCCATACGCTCGATTGCTGCTTTGTTTTGGGATCGTAACTATAAATCTATGTTTTGTCACCTGTTACTATGTCCGACATCAAATTTGACGCCCCTTCGCTGAATCTGGTAACCATGGCATTGCACCAAGAGACGTGATACGTTTTTTTAAGCCTCAGTCAAATTGTGTGGGATCCACCGAGAGCAAAGCTTTTTCACACCCAAATATTTGTGTAGTACTGATTGTATTTGACTTATGCCTATGCCTAAAGATGCCCGAATCTCATAGTATATCACATGCCTGTCTGTTTTGATCATATAGCATCGATGTTTTTGTTGTTCACAGCAGTGGGCGAGCGACCATCACAAAATTCGTCACTGAGATTCACATGACCGCGTTTAAGTTCTGCAAACCAGCTATAAATAGTCATCTTGCATGGTACTTTATCGCCAAAAGCAGTTTGAAGCCAAGGGAAGCTGAGCTGTTACATTACTCTTAAAGTTGTAGAAAATCATACTACGAAAATTTTCACTACTTAAATCCATGGTGATGTAGACAACCAATTTCTAAAATGACGCCACATTGTGAAAACAAGTGACAGTCAGATGAAACAAACTGTATTCTACGGCCAAAGAGAATAGTTCCATTTTCAAATGTTGTAATTACTTTTTAAATATTGTTTATGTAAGTGGCCAGTTCCGGAAACTTATAGTACGCCCTATGTACTATGGTACCCTCTTTCCAAAAAAAAAATCATCAAAATCGGTTCACAAATGCCGGCCGGAGTTATGACGTAACATACACATCAAAAATATAGTCGAATTGTGAACTTCCTCCTTTTTTTGAATTCGGTTAAAAACATATATATGAACAGACATCGTAAAACCTATAAAATAAAGCTTGATACAAAAAATTCAAGAGCTCAGAAGAATACAGTGTAGCCCTACTTGCAAATGAAGGACACCTGTCATAAAATAGACGTGATAAATGAAATACCTGCAATGTATGCGGGTTAATAATTTTAATCGATGCATGTGTGGCGCACCACAGCATACCGCCGGAAAGGAGCATGCTGCCCACCGGGCTGCTGCCCGTGCCCACCGCAATCGTAGATCGCTCCGTCCACGATCCATCTGGAATTTGATATCTCAGTCATGATCTATCTTATTGCAGGAATGATTCGTCACGGCAGACCTGTTCAATCTTGGCTCAAGCTATTTTTCTAAAAACACTATTTTATTATTTGCTCTCAAGTTTGAGTAACAAGTGTCAGTATCAAATCAACAAATGTTACCAAAATATTCCGTTACCGCTGATTGACCTTATCAATACTTATCCTACTTAATATGCAACTAGTATACGGGGTACCAACCAACTTTTAGTCCAGAAAGCGAAGAAAATCACAAGATACAAGAAATGCTTTCATATTTTTTAAAGATAACCTTGTTTTCTACCCCTTGATCACCAAAACCCTACGTATTCCGAAAATTCATATAGAAAAAAAGCTATGTTATATAATTTAACTCTTGATGTAAATGAATTTCTGTATGTGACATGCTACCTTTCAAGTGTAAGTGCATAAAAAATTTAATAAACAATTACCTATATCTCTACAGTACACCACAAGATCACCGTTTCCAAGCGCAACGAACACTTTCCCCTCCACGTACCTGCAAAAATGTAAAGGTACTGAAGTACCTCTGTAATGTGTATAGTTACAGAGTTTACACATTGAAATTAAAAAGGTACGTCAGTTTGAGAGTTTTCCACATAAAATTATAGTATTCTCAATCTCATAACAAACATTCAAACATTATTGGTGAACGTTGTTAACTATTTTCGCATAAAGCTAGCCAGCTATCACTTTTGGAAAAACAAAAAAAATCGCTAAGGCGCGGTGTTGCATGGATTTACAGTTCGCTACAGCATTCAAAGGAATAGAATGGGAAGGATTTTGGAGAATGATACGGAGAATCTTAAAAATATTAATTATACATGATCATTATGTCGTCATTGCTTAATAAAAACTCACACAATGGAATGAACACCCGAGTTATGTTGCAACTTGACTTTGTTCTTCTTGATCCTGATGTTGTCCAAGCAGTTGTAGACGTGGATGCAACCATCTTCTGTTCCGAGCCACATAGTGGGCTGGTTAGCTGTGGTGCCACTATCCTCTGAGGACTGACGGCTGGTCGGCGATGAAAGAGTTCCTAAATATACATAACGCATATAAATTTATGAGTCAAAATTATAGTTATTTCTAAACTCTGAACTTGCAGATCTAATCCATTCTTTGTGTGATTTGACCGAAATAGAATTTTGTGGATCGTAAAAACTCCATTAAAAGGATAATTTCTTCTACCTTTAGCAGACCTTGAATATACAGTGGTCAGTGAAAACTTTTCAAATGCTGTAAGGTCAGATATAAATCGTGCAAAAATATGATAAATGTTACCCAGCATAGAACGTCGTGCCCCGAAGTTTGGTCTCCTAAGTAAACAAGAATAAATAGAAGTAATATGTAGATTAACTATTAGATAGAGAATTCATTAGTAGTTAGGAGTAGTACCTTAAACGAAAATATTTTCTATATAAATAATACTACCAGAAAAAACCGTATAATTTTAATTGTCCGAGATGCAAAGTAAAAAATGTGCTAAGTCCTCACCAGACGTGATACCCATGGCTTGTTTATCGACCGCGGGGTTTGAACTGGATTTTACCACAGGATGCACTTGAATATTTTGCCCAGTGTGAGGAGTGCTCAGGCTTTTGCTGTGGTTTGGCGTGAGTGAGATATTCTTGGCGTTTCCAAGTCCAGTATACAGGCTGCTGTGGAGACGAACCGTTCCCGGTTCTTGGCACCTCTCTAATTGAGCATCTTGGTTATCACTGCCCGATGATCCGTCATCCTCGTCATCGCTAGACGAAGAGCTGGAAATTCCAATTTTAGTTAAGTTTAAAAATAAACATTCATAAGATTTAAAAATCAACCTAGAAGCCCGTCTACTTGGCTGACGTTTTGTATTCTATATAATAAAGACAAACCTGTCAAGTCGGATGTTCTTGCAGCTATCATCAGGATCCGAAATGCTGATATCAGGTTTAACTGAACTTGCATTGTTCAGCGAACTGGTACTCCTAAAGCAAAGCAGGACGTTGTTTTCATTAGGATGTTGAGTAATTTTTCAAAGCACGTGACCCAACAGCACTTACGGAATATCCAGAGTCTGCTGTCTAGTGAGTACAGGCGCAGGTGGCACGCAAGCAACACAAAGTATACGAGCGTTGCATACACCATTGCACGAAGTCACCTGAGGCTTGGGGGTCAGCGTCAGCACGCAAACCTGACCCACATAGCCATCGCTGTTGCACACCTGTTAACAAAAGGTTACTTTGTTTCATGCCAATTCTTCTAAATCTTTTTAAGAAGTTGATAGATTTGTTTAAATACGCATCAATACAATTACAATAATTCGCAAGTGCATCATAAATATAAATTTAAAATAGCATTCACCAGGCGTACACACCATAAATCTTAAACATAAAATGATTAAAAGATTAAAAGAATTGAATAAAATTTCCCAATTGACTAGGACAAACTCACCCAAACATCAGGAGCTTGTCCAATTGGAGGAAGAGTGGGTGCAGCACAAGTGAACTGCAGGCCAGCCCGGGTCTTACGTATCGGCACTGGGGACAAAAACTCTGGCGCTGGCCTCTCTTGACCGTATACCCCTAGAATATTACAAAATGAATTGTTAGATGGACAACGTGTTACCATAACAAAGACTGAAAACCGGTGGCGTAATGAAGGTCCTCCTTGACTTACATAATTTTTGTTTGGTTTCATTTATAAGCTCCTCCCAAATGGTCCTTTTTTCAGTTTTTGGAAATATGATCGTTACTGTTTCTGGACCGTTCCTAGAAAATTCGTAACAATCATTGAGAGCATTCTTCGCATTCTTTTGAGTTATATTTATTATACTTACGGAGTATTCAGGCTGATCTCCATGTAACACAGCTGCGTGTCACAGTGCTGTGTTTCAGATAGCTGCTTATTTACATTATGCAGCAGCTCCCTCACCATTTCTTCAAGTTGCGAATGTTGTGAGTGAAGAGCTGCCACTTGTTCAGAAATTTGAGTCAATGTGTTTGCGTCTGCTGACAACGTCTCTACTTCGTGCATTATTCGCCTAAGATTTTCATCTTTTGCTGAAATATTAGATAAACAGTTAGTAGTAAACAAGAAAATATTTGAGGCAACAAACGGTTAAAATTTTACCTTTCACAATTTCGAGATCAGTCAAAGGTATTTTCATCAGCAACTTATATTTATTTCCTTCCATCTGACTTGCTATATTAGTTTGGTATGATCTGCAAATTAAAATTCGGTATGTTACGTAATCATGACGAGTCTTTCTATAAACTTATCTCTCGATAAATACTCACGGAATGGGTTTCTTGATGGTTCCAGTCCTCCTCTTAACACTTGTTATTAAGAGCGTGTCGTTGAAGAGAAACAGAGCTCTGTCTTTAATTGTTCCCTGAGCTGAGGGCATCGAAACTGTCTCATAGCGTAAAAAAGTGCGTTCTGCCGACGTCAGATTCGATAAACCCTCAATCATTTGTTCCAAATCTCTTAATGTCTGCTGCTGTTGTTCGAGTTCCAGACTTTCCCTTTCTGTGCAATTTATCAGTTCTAATAATTCAAGCACTTCCTTTTGAGCCTCGAGGAGTAATTTGTGATCTGGATGTGATGAGTCTGCAAAGGAGGGAATAAAAATCATATCTGCAATGACATCTACGTTATAAAACTAACGAAATTTAGTCACCTGTATGTTTAATAAGCCTCTGTAGCAAAAGTTTGTAGTACGGGAACTTCTGAACTGGCTTTATGAGAAGGTGGTCCAGTGACAATTTGCCTTTGTGATCACGAGCCATTGCGTCCAGAAACTTCGCAAATGCAGGGCGAGAAGCTGCAGCGGTCTTGATGGTCTCTTTTGCTTTTTTCAAGTTGTGGATAAAAGACATGTATGTGTCCATTACAGCCGGTTTTGTAAACTGAAAGCAATGTAAGTTGTGAATTACAATAACCGATTAAATCAAATAAGTTGTACGATACATTCCATGTTTTAATCCCAATTCACTTCAGATTTCTATATTACATCCGAAGCCGTCATTGTAATAATCCGTCATTGCGAAATAACGTGGAAACTTATCTCGCCCGCATTAAATATTTAAAGAAAAGATTCGGAATTTAAGATAATTTTTCTTTGATTGATCCCCTGTGCTAAATGGACTGCGAAAAAATGCTTAGTCATCAAATGATTGAACGTTCCACTTAGATACTCGAACCTTGGTGTGTAGGTAGTTTGTAAGATTTTTCAAGAAAAAATAAAACTTTATTTATATTCAATTTACCACTTCCAAGAAAACGTCTCCGACTTTTTGGTGTATATCCCATTGTTCTAAGCGCCTCCGCAGCTGCTCCAAAAAGACCTGGTGAACATTGAGGATCCCAGGTACTTGATAGAATATCTCGTCAACTAGGACGGCGTCAAGGAGACCAGCGTTTTCAGGACTTTTCAATGGTTGAAGATATTTCTGAAATATAAAAATTCACTGTTTCAAATTTACATGGCGCACTCTCGATTTATTACAATACTTACGAGAAATTATCAAATCAATACCATGTTATGAAAATATATAAATGCTAAATAGTCAAAGATTAAAATCCAACTGGAATCAGCCTGTTCGAGTTAATAATGTACCAAGTTCTTTTGACTCGTTTATAATTCCAGATGTGGAATAAATGCGAAAAACATTTTTATATAAAAATAAAGAGAAGGCGAGAGTAGTTTTCCATGTTTCTGAATTCTAAATATCGTTTATTTTAATAACGTACTTCCATTTTCCATTTTTCGGTGAAAAAGTTATTCTCAAATAATAAAAAGTTCTATGTGTGACTGGATGCTTTGTATCCAAATAATAACGTAGGATTTCTTTTTCATTTAGAATTTTGTTGAAGTTCTGGTACCATAGGGTACCCGAAAAAAGTGGCATACATGTTTTAACCGACTCCAAAAAAGGAACATAATAATAATATGCACACACTCATAGCCCCGCACACACAGACATCCACAAATTACATCCAAACTCAGGAGAGAAATAAATGTAGGTCATACAAATATTTTTCCAAGCCTAGGAATCGAACCAGAGACGCCTATGTGGCAGTCCACCATAATAACTGTTCTGCCTCAGAGGCAGTTAAAAGGGGGTTCTCAATTGAACTGTATTTTTTGTGTTTATTTTTATTTTTATTATTGTTACGGTTACTTCGAAATCCGACTCCTAATTTGCCACTTTTGAACGTAAATAGGAATATCGCCTTCAAATTTGAATGGAGCCACTAATGAGGTACCCTCTTTTCAACAAAAAAAGAATCATTAAAATCTGTTCATAAAATGTCGAAATAATCGTGTAACAAACACACCAAAAATACTACAATCGAATTGAGAACCTGTTACTTTTAAGAAGTCAGTTAAAAAGAAAATGCAAATAATAGATACACATGTCACTTGGGTATTGACCCATTCTGATGTTTGTGGTACTGGTTATAAACTAATTTTATTAAATCTTTGCAGGTTTTTTCTGTTTTGATTTTGGAAAACTTGAAATATAGCAGAATGTTCCAAATTGTAAAAAGCCTTCGCATAGTCTACAAAGGCTATGTAAAGGTGTGAAGGTGGTCCATAGTTGAGAAGTTGGGTCGGAAGCCGGTTTGTTCAGGTGGTTGGTGTTGATCTAGGTTGTTTAATAATTCGGCTTTCGATGCCTTTAATAAATGCTTTATAAACATAATGACACTAAGCTAATAGGTCTATAGTTGCCAATCGAGAATTTGTCTCCCTTCTTATGAAGGAGGACTACCTTCACGTGACACATGTGACTTGTGATTATTCCTGTCTCTAAAATAGAATTCAATGAATTAGTTAGGTGGGGAAGTAAGTTCAGCAGCAGTACAGTTCCTTGTGAAAGATCGTCCTAGGTAGTACTGCCACTTTACCTATTTCTGCCGCCAAGCAGTAATGTCAGCATTACTGTGTTCCGGTTTTGAAGAGTAAGGGTGCTGGTGAAATTACAGGCACATGGGACTTGTCAACATATGTCTCAGGGTGACGGGCACAGTGGTAATACCCCTCAGATCTTTGCTATTTAAAGCTCTGAGTGGCACTTTAACTGTTATGAACTCCCGCCTGTTCAGCGCGTGTTCATCACGATACTCTCATGCTATATTGAAATAAACTTTTGTTAAATCAGTTGGTACTTGTGTATGAATATTTATAAACCAGTATCGCGGTTTGGTATGTTCATTATGGAGTATGATTATGAAAAATAAATGAAATGCTGAACAATTTTGAATTTGAGGTACTCTTGCTCAAACTATCACAAATACAAAAATGTACATGTCTGCCTCTTAATGTTATTTTTTATACGTGTGTACGACTCGCGCTGTACAGTGCGAGTGTATTGCGAAATTTAGCAAATGTGTGCGGACGTGTACGGACTACACAGCGCGCGGCGAGCGTGTACACATACAGGACGCGCAGCTACATTTGTATGACGTTGCCATACTAGTCTTGTTATACTACTAGTTACGTCTGCGCAGAATAAGTACGTCAGGTAACCTATTAAGAACAAATATTCAAATAATTCCCTATTTTACCTGGTGAGGTAATTGGTCAAAATCGCTGAAACATTGTTTATTTCTTACGAAAGGCATAAAATTTTCAGATCCCTTACTTAAGAAATTATTGGTTCTCAATACAAACTTTCATTTCCTATTTCACCTTCGTTAAAATTTATTTCTGTGACAAAAAGTAGCCTATGTCCCTCTCCTGGGTCAAATCTATCTCTATCAAAATTCATCAAATATGGTTCAGCGGTTTAGGAGTGTAAACTTACAAGACAGACAGTTGTGTTGAAGGATTTTTTTCTGAGTGTTCGATCTTTGTGTTAATAATAACAAACTAGTGGAGTAATTTCACAAAAAATAATTGAATATCAATTCAATAAAAATTTAATTCACAAAATACTCGTACATTCTATATGTATTAAAACAAATACAGCAAATTAACCTCATTTATTTAATAATCACAAAATACATATTAAAAAATACTATCCTACTACCAACTGGGTACTGCGAAAGCATCTGAAATTTCAATTATAAAATACTTTCAAATGTAA